AGTCTATTATTTTATTAATTGTTTTCCGTACCTTATCAAATGGTTTTGGGAGCGGCAATTTGCAGTTCGCTGCTCTCAATTTGTTTAAATTGCACATATTGTGATAGGGTAAAAACAACCCACCCCACATTACTTTTGGAATATTTCGGTCTGTTAATTACAGCCAAGACAGGATAAATATAAAAACTTGCGCCATAGATTCAGACCAGCAAAATCAAAGAAAGGTATATTAAATATTCATCTCAAAATAGTTTATATCCGTTTCCGTATTACACTGCAGTATGACATCGTCTTAAAGATAATGGGGTGCGATTAAATCTGATATCCCACATAGAGCTAGAGCTAGAGACAGGGCGAAAGAAATGAAATAACAATCTAAAAATATAAATTCGAAATAAACTAAGTCGAAAATCTTGTGGAATGTGGTACCACACGGGCACATAGGGAGGTTAGAGAAGAATATTTTGAAATTAAGATTATTTTTTTTTTAAGTTTAATATTTTGTAGAATATATTTCCCCCACATCTTACAAGATGATAGGATAAACTATTATTGTTCCAGCGAAATAAAAAGAAAATGATTTTTTTTCTAAACCAATATCTTGTGGAACTCTTGTGGTGAAAAACACCACAGACCACAAACACTCTATCAAAATTTTTCTAAATCGAAAATCTTGTGGAATGTGGTACCACACAGGCATATAGGGAGGCCTGAGAATAATATTTTTTCTAAGTCCAATATCTTGTGGAACTCTTGTGGTGAAAAACACCACAGACCCAAAACACTCTATGAATATTATTTTAAGTCGAAAGTTTTGTGGACTGTATTTATTTTCAGAAACCCAATATCTTGTGGAACTCTTGTGGTGAAAAGTTCCACACAAATTCCCCCAAACCTTGCCATAGATGGAAAAGTGTGCGATTTTCAGACCACTCTTAAAGAAATCAGGATTTATTCCAAATGAACTAAAAAATTACAGACATGTGTCAAATATTTCGTTCCTTGGCGAACTTATACTGTAGAAAGGGTTGTTTTTAATCAAGTCGATAATTATCTATCCGATAACTCCATGTACTGCAAGTTCCAATCGGCATAGCGGAAATTCCATTCCACTGAGACTGCGCTGGTAAAAGTTTTTAATGACATTTTAATCTCATTGGACAATCATCACGAAGTCGTTCTGGTTATGCTTGACCTTTCCGTAGCTTTCGATACGGTCGACCATTCCATTCTATTACAACGTTTGAATAGACGGATTCAGCTGTAAAGTAGCCCCTGCATCATCAGAAACGTCAATATTAAAATATGGCGTCCCACAAGGAAGTGTGTTAGGTCCGGATTTGTTCAGTCTGTGCTGCACACCACTTGAGCACATTATAAATTAGCATGATCTTGACTTCATGGTTTACGCTGATGACGCTCAGGTCTATTTTTCATGTAAATCCGGTGATCTGTGTACTAATTCAATAGAAAAATGTGTAGATGAAATCAGGACATGGATGGCAGCAGGCAGACTTAACGACGGAATGACAGAGGTTATACATTTTTATTCAAAATTTCGTAATCAGTCTATTTTAAACAATGTTCGTATTGGTAGTGAATTTGTACTGTAAATAGTGTTAGAAATCTTGGTTTTAATCTTGACAATGTATGCTCATTATCATGACATATTATTTCTGTATGTGAATCTGCAAGTTTTGCTTTGTATCGAATATGCCGAATTAGAAATATTTTAGACCGCACCAATACTGATAAACTTCTCGTTTAGACTATTGTAACAGCTTACTTCTTAATGCACCTGACTATCTAATCAAGCGTACCCAATGTTTTCAAAACTCCGCTGCCCGCCTTGTCTGTTGCATTAAGGAATCTTCACACATCACCCCCATTCTTTTCTCACTACACTGGTTACCCATCGCACAACGAATCCATTTTAAAGTACTTGTCACCGTTTTTAAAATTCTACATAATCAAGCACCTATGTATTTATGTGATCTTATCTCCTATCGCCAGTCAACTAGAACCACCAGATCCTCATCAGGAATACAACTTTTCGAGCCAAGATTCGAGCAGGAGTTTTATTTATGGCAAGCGAGCATTTTCTATTGCCGTTCCTCGTCTTTGGAATGCCACACCTTTAAACATCCGTAATGCACCATCACTTGAATCTTTTAAATCCCTACTAAAAACTCATCTTTTTAGTATAGCATATTATCAGTTTTAATTATTATATTTGAGTCATTTAAGCAATTCTAAATTTTTGTTTTTGTTCTTAGACTCTTTTCTGAGTTAATTATTTTAATTGTGGATATACTTTTTTTTAACGTAAATGTTCTTTATATACCTACATCTTTTCTTTTTTTTCACAATGCTCTGTGATATTTTATTGTTTTCACTTTATGTTGTACCGCCTATTGAAATCGATGTTGATGTAATTGGCGTTAAAAATAATAAATATTATGATTTATGATAGTACATTATGTTATATTTATAGCACGGCTTTCATGAGTTAACAGGTTTATAAATAGAATTAACGATAATCACTTCGTATCAATTTATTTTCATTGTCTGTCGTTGTGTTTTCAAGAACTGTTGATACATAAAAAAATAAAGCAGCTTTATATAGAATTTATGATAAGCAGTGTGTATCAAATCTATCATCCTCCGGCTTCCTCTCACTGCTATAGACCCCTACGCTCATGCGAATTATTAAACTTCATAATGGTATATACTAACTTTTATACGCCCATATATTCATGTGGACGTGTTATGACTTCGCCCAGATTTTAACCAATCTTTAAATGTATGTTTATATCCCGAAGATCTCGGTTCCTTTCGATATTGGTATCGGACCGAAACTTCATGGATTATTGCCCTTGATTTTTCGACAAATCAAGTTTTCACTACATGGACCATCTTGAGATCAAATTTTTTATCCGATTTTGATGAAACCTAAAACACCTATTTATATCCCAACGATCTCGGTTCCTGTCGATATTGGCGCATATCGGTCAGTAACTTCCTTGATTATGGCCCCTGATTGTAGGAAAAATCGCGTTCCTAAATAGATTGTAAAAAAACCCTTTTAAATATATTACCGTTACACAATAATTACGGTTCAGTTACAATTTCGTGAAAATCGGATAGATACTTTTCATCAAAATGTCAGCCCCCTTTACGCAAATAGTGTAAAAAGCATGTAATTACCAAGGTTGTGAATTTTCTAGAGGTCACGGTTTTTTTATCTGATTTTGATGAAACTTAATATATATGTTTATAACCCAAAAATCTCGATTCCTGCCAATATTGGTGGATATCGGACCGTAACTTCCTAGATTCATGAAATTCGGACCGAAATTTCCCGTCACAATCGCCACGCAAATATTGTAAAAGCATGTAATACCATGTGGAACCCTTTTGAGGTCACAATATTTGTCCGATTTAGATGAATGTTAAGTATCAAAGGATCTTGGATAAGTTAAATTTTGCTGCGCATCGAGCATACCCATTGCCTTTTAAGAGAAATGTGAAATATGTACAAAGTCATTGTCTGCGATATCACCCCGGTGGAAGCGGACGTTAAATAAGGCTATTTCACACAAATATGTACTAAGTTTGTGGACCTGCTTGGATGAGTTCGATTTTTGTATGCACCAGGCCCTAAGTTCTCAAAACATTCTCAGACTTAAGTTAAGAATTTACTCAAAATTGTTTGTCTTATAAAATATAGCCCTTTATAAAACTTTTGTTGTTTAAATGTATCAAATACACCAATTAGAAACTATGTGCAAAGTTTTGCGTTTCTGAATCACAAATATTTCTCATAAACAGTGATTGAAAGTTGAGTAAATTCTTAACTTAAATCTGAGAATGCTTTGTGAACTCGGGGCCTGACCTTCTATTCTAGATTCACAGTCCCAGTTTTTTTTTATACAGAAAGTGAAATATGTACGAAGTTTGTAGACCACCCCCACCCACTCCAAGATTTTGTCTTGACTCAGATAAAACTTAATAAATGTTTTAAGACGTCCAGCAACGAAAAATTTGAAAACATATTCCGGGAAACCCGATCTTTCATTTTTTGTATAGTGTACGAACGAAAGGCAATACACAATGTTCTGATCAGGATGTATGCTTAGCGTTCCTATTTATATATTAGGAAGTGCAGGGAGACTGTACTACACATAATTCACACAAAATCAGAGATACGGACAAAACGAATACTCTTCAAAAGAAGTAGGGGGGTATTCAGAAACAATACACAAATGCCGAAATGCATTGCTGTTTTTTTAGAGGTAACCAGTGTATGTTAATAACAGGCCAATTGCCCACACAAGAACATAAACAGTTCATATGGGCGGCTTATCTGACGGCGCCATTTCACTCGCAAAGAGATACTGTCAAAAGTGAAAATTGACGTTTTTAATTTTTGTCTTAATAATGAGTATTTCACCAATCTTCAGACATTCAACAATTCGTCGTGGCATGCTCCTAATTAACCGTCCAATCACGATTTGGGGCAATCTGAGGAATTCCTCTTGCAGTGCCGCGGCCAATTCTTACAGTGTTGTCGGTTGACGTTGACGTTGACGAACACGTCTCCCGATCAAATTAAACGTAACACACTAAAGCATAGATACGCTAAACCGATAGGAAAGCAAACATTGATAGGATAAACCAGCAAGCGGCAGTTTTCATCAACCCTTCCTTGAAGTGTCAAATTTGACAATGAACAGGTGTCTGGCGCTATTGCGTGTCGCATGTGCAGCTCAGTGGTTCTGATGGGGCGATACGTTCTTTATCTGTGAACATACACTCAAAGTATGTCAAGTGTACATGACTAATTATCATCTGAAAACCTGCTTATGTATTTGCATTTTAATATCCCCTACTTTTTTTAAGAGTATATTACGCAGAAATCACAAACAAACGCACAATTCAAATAAAGCGAATGGATCCGGGGGCTAGCCGTAAGTCAAACAAAAATAAACTGAACTTACCACATCTATCTTCCAAACTTCTTGCAGTATTAATACGACTGTAATGTGCTTTCTGTAATAAATTGGAATAAAGTATTGTATCATGTATAACAATGCTACTCGGGCCATTACAAAAAGTTAGTTTTCAACAGTCTATTTTCATTGCTGTTTTTTATAACTTCTCCTTGCATTCAATAACCCTGGGAATGATAAATGTAAATAATTATACATCAAAAAGTTTTCAAAAAGATAGAATCCAACAATTTTTAAATTGTTGGATTCTATCTTTTTAAAAACATTTTGATTAAAACACTATTTCAGTACAGGGGGTAGGAATACGGTCAACGGAAACAATCTGTAACAAGATAATTCATATCGTAACCACTTTATGTTTATAAAACCAGTTTTTTAAACAATGTGTCACGGTCTGTGATCAATAGACTGTGGAACCGGTACCAACAAACACAGAATGCTGATGATAAACCTAGAGTCACTACACCAAGCCCAGGATCGATACATTCGTACATAGGTCTTGCGAAAACGAGGACAAACGGCCAATCAGGAATTCGAGTTACACCCCAAACGATTAGAAATCGGCTACAATGCGCGACGACCGCGTGTTGTGCCTCCATTAACTAGCAAGTACATGGCAAACAGGCGTCAATGGTATAGGCAGCGTAGATGAGTCCAGATTTACTCTGGATTCCACCGATAGACGTGCTCGCGTTTGGAGGCGTGTAAATGAGCGTCATGCTAACGTTAACGTCAGACAGCATGACAGATTCGGGCGTGGGTTTGTTATGGTGTGGGGAGGAATCACCATGACTGGCAGAACGGACTTGCATATGGTTCAAGGAAGGGTCACTGGTGTATACTACCGTGACCACACCCTGGCAACGATAGGTCTGCCCTTTGCTCAACGTGCAGGTCGACGTTTCATCTTTCAAGATGATAATGCCCGTGCCCACCGCGCTCGTGTCGTAAATGGCTACCTCTATTGAGCATGTCTGGGACATGATCGAGAGACGTGTTCGTCGACGTCAACGTCAATCGAGAACACTGCAAGAATTGGTCGCGGCACTGCAACAGGAGTTGCACAGATTTCCTCAAATCGTGATTGAACGGTTAATTAGGAGCATGCCGTGACGAATTGTTGAATGTCTGAGGAGTGGTGAATTACTCATTATTAAGACAAAAATCAAAAACGTCCATTTTCACGTTTGACATTGTATATCTTTGCGAGTGAAATAGGGCCACCAGATAAGCCGCCCATACGAACTGTTTATGTTCATGTGTAGGCAATTGGCCTGTTATTAACATACACTGGTTACCTCTAATGAAAACAGCAGTGCATTTCCGCAGTTTTGTATTGTTTCTGAATATCCCCTACTTTTTTTGAAGAGTAAATATATAGCAATAAATTTAATGTCGATATTTTCGACAAAACCGACAAATATGGCATTAAAGTTGCAAAATACCCATCACAAAATAGTAATATACCAGATGTTACTCTATATAATGTATTCTATTCATAGGCATTGCAGTTTTTAACAATATGCAACGATAACGAACTATTTCTTTCTGGAATAATATATCTTCATTTTGAATGCATTGCTAAGGGTGGAACACAAATACGTTTTTTCAAACGAAATTTCGAAACTTCCATTTCGTTAGCGTACCAAGTTTAACATTTCTTTCAAATATAAACCTGAATATATATATTTTGTGCAGGGATATAATTGAATAATACCTATTTGTTCCTAAACTGTTCATTTTAACCGTTTAAGCGTATGTCTAATTCATTGCAGCAGATTTAATGTCTCATCTTTTTCCGACTGCTTGCTAACATAAATTATTTTTTCGTCTTGTGGAGAGCTTTAACTTTGTGCGCAATATAAGAACTCACTTAGGAGATAAACACTTCCTGATTCGTATTTAGAGGGGGTTTATTGTCCATTTAACCATGCTTGAATCATTAGAACACGAGACGCGACAGTTTGTTTCTAAACTTTTACCTTTTTAGCGTTTTCTTACACTGAAAAAAAACTTGTGTTGAAAGAACACAAACTTGTGTTAAATTCAACACAAGTTAGGTGTCTCTATTTAACAACACAAACTTGTGTTAAAACAACACAAAACTTGTGTTAAATGTTGAAACAACACAAAACTTGTGTTAAAATGTATCAAACAACACAAAACTTGTGTTAAAATGTATCAAACAACACAAAACTTGTGTTGAAACTTGTGTGAAATCTACACAATACTTGTGTTGAAACTTGTGTTGAAATTTCTGAAACTTGTGTTGAAATTTCTGAAACTTGTGTTGAAATTTCTGAAACTTGTGTGGTTTCATACAAACTTGTGTATAACCATCATCAAAAACTTGTGTTGTATTTTTCCCCAATTTATATCCAGCATAGCAACCTTTCTATGCAGGACCCCTCTCTTTGCTCTGTTAGACCTGTAAAGTTTGATAAAAGAAGGAAACAAAAAAAATTTTTGTAAGATTATTATTTATTCATAAAATCATAGGAAAAAGTAAATTAATACATCAAAACTAAATAGATATTTGAAATGTTAACAGAAAAACAGAGACTTCAATTCTAATACAAATTATGTTGTGTTATATATAATGACCCCTCCCCCCCCCCCCCCCACTTTACCCATCACAAAATATAAAATAGCTATTTAAATTGTTCTTTACCCCAAAACAAGAACTGAGAATATAAAGATATGTACACAGTATCCCTACCCCATACCCCAAAATATATAATTCAAATATATCTAAATTTAATAACATCCAAACTAAGCACTAATAAGATTAATTATGCACTAAATTGAAACAATTTCAAAAACTGAAAAATGCTACAAAATCACACTACAAGTGATTTGTGAGGCATCTAGAAATAACTAGCATACACAGAAAACTAACAAAAGAAAATTGCTCTATTTTGCAGGAGTAATAAAATGATGTAGAGCCTTTTCCTCATTAAAAAAAACCCAAACAAAATGAATATTTTATAAATAAAAGAAGCAAAGCATCAAGATTACAGGATTGAAATAAAAAAATATCATATGTACAAAAGATTTATATACAATCACAAGTCATAAGCCACAGTGGTTCAGTGAGCATAAGGCGTTGGCCGCGAAATTTCAACTGGATTTTCCGGCATAGTTCCCACTTTTCAGTGTTGGATATGGCAAGGGATAATTGGGTACAAGCCCAGAATCAAAAGAGAGAGAGACAGAGAGAAATGGGGTTTAACATCTACTCGACACAAACTAGATCATTTTGGGATTAACATATGGTTTAATTTTATTTCAATAATTCGCTAGCGCGTAGGGGTCTTTAGCAGTGGGAGGAAACCGGAGGTCCCGGAGAAAACCCACAAGATTGGACAGGCGACCCTACTCCTTGTCTACAACCGGGGATTCGAAACCATGCCAGTTGACTCAATGACAGGAGGCCGTATGATACAGCATGCACGTGCTAACCAATCGGCCATCCACCCCCACCCCCCAGAATTGAAACCAACCCAACTGCGTACACTTTGAAGAACCCTTGAAAATTGAATTATTTGAATCAATGACAGACCTTCTGATCAAATGTGTGCGTGTTAACCATTCGGCCCCCCTGGGTACCCTTTAAAGAACCCTTGACAGTTGAAATATTTGATATAAGGGTAGGGTAGAATCACTCTAAAAACACAGAAAAGCAGGATATTAAAACGTATTTCATTTCATAAGCAAGGGAAAGTCACCTTAATGTAGGTCAAGGTTTTTTGTAATTCTGGGTGTATTTGATCTACATTTGGTTTCTAGTAATGCCTATTAAATACTTTATGATTTCCGACCAAATTCTAAGTGATTTATATGTCAGTTTACTTGCTATATTATACATACATATTTGAAGAGAATTAAAACCTAATTGTGTTTTGGAAGAAAATTTAACATTAATAACAAAAAATAAATATTTAAAAATTGGGTCAAATGCATTCTTTCCCAGAAGTATAAAATAAATTGATGCTTGGGTTCTCTTGTTGTTATCATACACCAAATACTCTTTCAAGGGTGTTCCAGCCTAAAAAATAAAAAGTAGGCAATAAGAATACAATGTTTAAATAAACAATTTATTTTGCCACATCGAGACTGAGTCTCTATTTGGTTTCAACTTTGCGTAACACTTATTGTGTCTTGTCCACTTAAAGACCCAGGCAGATTATTATGCTCAAATCAAATGGGTTAAAAGTCAGAAAAATGAAATGAAATGGGGTTTAACGTCCTACTGTTCTGCTCCTATACTGGGCTAATAATGACGGGCATATGCCACACAGTGTACTATGAGGGAATTTTTGCCCGGGCAGCGGCACTATCATCTATTCTTATATCGAATTCCAACTGCCAGGGGATCTTTTACGTGCATTCCAATATTCGTCTCATCGGAAGGACTAGACAGCTGTCATTGTCAGGCCAAGTCAGAAAAAAGTCTTGAGATTTGGGACTGAAGTCTCATAATAGGTCAACTATTCACCCGGTTCATACATGTATTGTCTGCAAATCCAGATTCCCTACTACATCATTGGCAGCACCTATTTACTTGGCAATGTCTAATTATTTTTGGACCCATTCTTATTTTATTTCCATTGACAACAAATTGGATATTACCCTTTAAAATCTATTGAAATCTATTTGAAAAGTAAAATATTGTCCATCATTTTTTTACTGCTATTTACTGTAATGGATGTGATTGGCAAAAATCAAGCATGCCAAGTACTTGAAATAGCTGAGTCCTAGGCATTGCCCCAAGAAGAATAACTAGATTACCAAGCAAGTGTATAGAACTAGTTGATGATTAAAAATACAAATATGTATGTTACTTACATTTTACCTGATTATCAAGCTCTGTGAGAAAAAGTTTCCATAATATGAATAGCCATTTTCAACTGTCTTGATCTTTCTGATGTAGTTAACGGAGAAAAAAAACATACTATGTATTAGTTGACTTAAATCGACTCGACAGTTAAAAGATGAAAGTTTTAATTTAATTACATTGTATTGTAATGTGTTGGTTTG